CACCCTTGTTTCACCTGTTTGTTATTGATTTATTATTCTATAGAAGTTACAACTCCTACTCATTTCCAAGTCTTAAAGTTTCTGTTTCTCAACACATCTCACTCAACAAATACATATGACCTGAAGACTGTACTACCGTAAGACAAACGCTAGGGACTTCTTTAAAAAGTGTACCCGCTGGTCAGCTATCTCAGAAATACTGTAATATATGTTGTAAATATAGTCTATTATTATCTTTCAACAATTAATAACTGAATTAAAGAAACAGCTAAATTCACCTATTAAAGACCTTTTCACATAAGAAGTGGTAGAGGGAATCAATCATTCAATGTTTTCCCTCATTTGAGATAAGAATATAGTTATAAACCAAAGCAGAGATTAACACTTTTTGGTTTTAAAAATCATTCATTCTGTTTCTTGTTTTGTTTTGCTTGGCTTTGTAACACTTTGAAAAGTATTTCTACTGTACAAATAGCAATGATCATGATCCTGATGACCTCAGCAGTTTCCTATGTGATTTCCCTAGGTGATCACAATATCTTGATTAAACCAAATTTACTTGACTTTTCATAAATGTATCAAACATATAAAATGAAGTGTACCTGGTCCTTTCTTCATTTTTCAGGACTAGAGTTTACCTGTAATTAAATACTTCCATATGAAATTCAGGTAATATCTCTCACTCATCAGTGACACTCTGTGATACCACAATCATGGACCCACATCTCCTCTTCATAAACATTACTGTCTTATAGTCTCTCTCTTTCTCTCTAATCCACACCCAAACCCAAGTTTTGTTGCCTCTGCATATTTGGGGATGTTTTTTATTCTGTCTATGCCTATTCTTTTCCACGTATACACATAGGAATCCAAACAGCCACTTCTGCTGGGTACTGTACACTCTGTTAATCCCAGGCATCAATTTTGATGCCTATTATCTTATAATCTTAGCAAATACTGTTTTTTGTTTTGTTTTTATTTTGTTTTTGTACTGGGGATTGAACTCAGGTCCTTGTACTTGCCAGGCAGGCACTTAAACTGCTGAGCTATCTCCCCAGCTAGCAACTACTTTGAAAATAACTAATAGGTTCCAACAATCACTGAATTACTATGGTGGTCGTCTAACATGGCTGAAGCCCAAAAACAACAGCGAATCTTCCCAGTGACTACTTCCACCTTCATCCCCATCCATCCCTGAATAACACTCCCTTTTACTTTTCCCATGTGCATAAGGGAGCCGCAATCGCTCCTTGTGTATTGCTGAGCCTGCCCGCAAGCTCCAATCGTAGCGAAAGTCCATAAGGCTCCTCTGTCTCAGGTCAGAAGAGCGACCTGCCTAAGGTCCTCTCAGTGTCCTTAATACAGGCCTTCCTTTTACTTCTGCTTCTCTGCTGCACTTCTCTACAAGGCTTCTCTAACATTACATTAACCACAGTTAATTCCTATTTTGTTTTGAAATTCTGTATCATTTTATTGTTTTTCTCTTTACAATGAAATAATAAAATCAAGCTATACATTCCTTAACAAACGAGTTCTGTTCTTGCTCAATAAATGAGTTGATTATTTCTCAATAAGTGAGAAATTGTATATGGTACATAAAATATTTGGAACAAAGAAGTGGTCAGAGGAAACTCCAACTTGATGACTTCACTTTTATTTGCATAACTTGCAAGATGCAATACTATAATGAGAGAACAGAAAACCAAAGTATAATGAGCAAAACTTATAGTAGTCTATTGTAGAGCAAGCCATCATAGGACTCCACTGCCACTCATATTTCTGTGTGGTAAATTTAAATACATGTCCTAAGTTTAAGTTATAAGTCCATAAATTGATGGTTCATTAAAGGAGAAATAGCTGTATTCAGAATTGTGATATCATTGTCTACCCATGAACATAAGGTTCTTTTCATATACTAAGAGTCATGCAGCATTCTAAATGCTTTCTATATATTACCTCCCTTAATCCTAAAAATAATTCATTAGATACCACCCCTCCTATTGCACAAATCAGGTAATTTAAGCACAAGCATTACTCGCTTTACCATTGAACAAAGGTATATTTTAGGGAATCTATGTTACAGCTAACAGACTAATGAATATAAAATAGTCCTGGTAAATGTTTGAATAAATATTTGTTGAATAAATTTGTTTAACAGCATGTACCAAATCACTGGATAGTACTTACTGGCATAGTGGGGTACATTGGGAGCTGTATGAAAAAGCTTATGGATTCCATGCCCACAATAACTTCGAACAACTGAAAATCCACTTGCTTGAGCATGCTTCTGAATAATGTTTCCCAATTCTCTGTATCGAACACCAGGTTTCACTAAAAGAAAAAGACAACTCATGACAAAAGTAATAATATATAACACTAAGAAGCTAATATTTCTGTGTCAAGAACCTTTGTAAGTACTAATGCAGAAAGGCTATACAGCCACTAAATGGCAAAGCTCTAATTCAAAATAAGAACACCTCAGTTTCTTCTTTAATGCCAGAAAAGGATACCTAGCAATATTATGGGAGTGTGGACAAGTACCTTTTATCTCCTCTAGCAACAGACATCAAATAAAATGAAAAATACATTTCTCTTCACATTCTTCTCTAAAATCAATATTCTATTCTATTTATTCTATTCTATGGAACTGAAGAGTTAAGAGAGGAAAGTATACCAGGAGAAAAAGGAATGTTCAAAAAAAAAACTTGTATTTCAAGTGACAGTGTGGTCAACTTCTGAAAGAGTTACTTCCCCTGGGCTTCCTGATCTATGAATAGAAAAATAGTTTTCTATTCATAGCTGCCTCTGCAACAGGTCCTAGGGCATAGAAAGAGTATTTTTCACTATATACTTGGTTTTAGTTATTATGACTAGTACTAATATGATAAAAAGAAAAACAAAGAAATGATTGTCATTGATATTAAGGTTGTCCTAGCACTAAGATCTCAAGAGGATAGCACCGCCAGACTCATGAAGAATTTAGCCATGGTTCTGGATATCCTCTAACTCCTACAATCTCAGTCTGATTTCCAAACAGAAAGTCAGCTACAATAGCTTCCCTATCCAATCAAATTTCTGGTTTAATAACTTAAGGAGTTGTACTTTAACCAATTCTCAAATTTCTCTTAACTGTATGTTTCATATGTTGACTTTCTGGCAAGAGAAGGGAGCTTCCAATTTTTAAATCTCTGAATTTCAAATAATTTTCTTTCACTCCTATATAGAACTTTCTGTCAGCCATGGTTTGGGGCACTGGGAACACAACAAAAATTTAACCATTCTAAGGGCCAGCCAAATTGCTCAGAGGATCAAAGCACCTGCATAGGCAGACGCACGGGCTGGAGGTTCAATCTCCAGCATGCCATACCAGCCCCATCCTTGGGGCACAGTGAGACTGTGATTGAGACTGGGCATGGTGGCACATGCCTGTAATCCCAGCAACTGGGAAGCTGAAAACAGGAGGATAACTACAAGTCTGATCTGTGTAGTGAGATCCTGTAGATCCTTGTAGATCCTGTACTAAATACATAATAATAATAATAATAATAATAATAATAAGTATTTTTAAACAACTTTTCAAACTCTCTAGTGCTCTACACCAGGTTAGGAAACACACTGAGTATTTTTAAACCATGGGGAAAGGATGCAAGAATGACATTTATAATGCTATGGACAGTACTTTCCAGATTTCGATGAAATTCTGATACATGAAAGGTATATATCCATTAAAAGAATTAGGTATCTACGTATGTAGGTACATACAATAATATTGAAAGATTTCTATGATATTGGTTGAAAAAATTCCGAATTATAGAATATTACAAGTATTATTGGGCCGGCCTGATAGCTTATTGAATTAAAGCACCTGCTCAGGCAGATGCAGGGGCCAGGGGTTCGATCCCTGGCCTGCTATGCTGGCCCCACCCCTGGGGCGTGCTGAGACTGCAACTGAGTATAGGCATGGTGGTGCACGCCTGTAATTCCAGTGCTTGGGAAGCTGAAAAATAGGAGAATCACTACAAGTCTGATCTACGTAGTGAAATCCTGTAGACCCTGTAAAGGCGGTTTCTTCATTTCCCTCTTACTCTTCCATCTTAATTTACTATAATGAAAACATAATCTTTATTGACTCAAAGAATAAAAAAGCACAAATAAAAATTACACTGGAGAATCATCCACACAATCCTCCTTATTTAGCAGGCAAAGAAATAGAAGTTGAATCTCAAAAGAGACAATGTGGGCTTGGGAGACAGCTTAGCAGTCGAAGTGCCTGCCTGGCGAGCACAAGGATCCAGGTTCAATCCCTGGTAGGGTATACCATGCCGGCTCTGGAACCCCAGATGTGTCATGCCAGTCACTGAAACCAGGCATGGTAATCCCAGCACTGGGGATGCTGAGTCAAAAGGAACACTACGAGTCTGAACTGTGGAGTAAGATCCTGTATCACATAAATACACACATACGTACACACATAAATACATGATTTTAAAAAAGAGACAGAGAGACCCAGTCCTAGCCCAGGTCCGGTGAGTGTGCGGAGAGTTTCCTGCTACCCTGCGCCTGCGGGACCAGTCCCAGCCCAGGCGCAGCGTGGGCCGGACCCTCTCCCAGCCCCTCGGGCTGCCCCCCACCACTCCGCAGTGCC